TGGTAAAACAATGAACCGGCCACTAAGATATCACAAATCAATCTACTTTCGGCCGATTTACAAAGAATTAATTATCAGACCGATTGTTAAAACAATGAACCGGCCACTAATGGTATCATAAATCAATCGACTTTCGGCCGATTACAAAGAGTTAATTATTACTCTTCGATTAAGAAACCCATCAAAGAGTCAATCATTAGAATGAATACCTTCAGCTTATTTCATAAATAAACAACTTAATTGAGGTAATCATGCCAAGTACTTGAACACCTCGCAGAATGACACCAGGAAACGTAAACGAGATTTAACTGAAGATAGTGATGGTGTTGACCTTGAACTTCAAGCATGCACGTCGTCAATGGAATTTCCAAAAGCCGGAGATCCTCCCACTCGCAATATAGGTCAACCAAATTATCGGCAATAAAAGACCGTATTAATCTGACGATCATACCTGCGCAGCAAAGAAAGACGTTAATCCGAAATGCGTATTCCATAGCAAAAAGAAACATTGCCATCGAAAATTATGAACAATAATTGAACGATTTGACAGAACAGCAGGATCATGAAATGACAAAAAAACTATATCGTGATTTTAATTGTTGTGGTGAATTTATTTCTTTAATATCCAGTGAAATTGAGGAAGAGATCCTCTCAGATATCCGAACTAGTCCTGCTGCATTAAATCCCGACAATTGTATACCAGTAATGCTAAAAATAATCACGACAATTGGCCATGTGACCTTTCGCCCTACAGCATATTTCCAAGTTCCGACTATACACGGAAACCGATTTGTGCTACTTTGTTATTTATATACTTATATACTTTTTTATTTATATATATATTAACATGTGCTTACGAATAAAATAATTTTAAAAAAACATTTGTATGTACTTGTAGTTTTTACTAATTTATAACTTCCGTTTAGTTGGATGAAACCAAAAGTAGGAATATGCAATGCAAGTTGCTGAAATAATATGACCTTAAATGTCGATATTATAGCGATGTATGAATGCAGTTAGGCCTAACCGTGGCCGGTTCATTTCAAAATGGATTAAGAACCCTGGTTGAGACCCTTGTTTCAGTTTCTAAATTGTATATTAAATTCCCCTAATTACCTACAAAAGAATAAATATGTGACAACCCTTGTCCACCACACGGTCGATTTAGCTGCTGTGGGCGTATATTTTGTTGCCTGGCAACCTATCTTCCTTTTTGCGATTCTTTATATAACCCATGACATGTGACAGGAAGTGGCCGTGAATATGAAAGCTTTCATATCTACCTAGCAGATCTAGTAATTATTGTTATTCCTCTTCTATAGCACTTCATTATATCCAGTGATATTTTTAAAGCACTTAACAAATGTCACATCACAGTTTGTAATAATATTTAAACAAGTGTGTTTTTAACTGCGATTTAAATAATAAAAGTTGAACTTTCTCTAATTCAGGGTTCCCGCGGTCCTTGAAAATCCTTGAATATCCTTAAATTTAAAATTTAATTTTCAAGGTCTTGAATATCCTTGAATTTTGCGGAAATAGGAAAATATCCTTGAATTTCAGTTGAGATCCTTAATTTTGTTTCAAATTGGTAATAATAGTAAGTTTATATGAAAATCCTGTTTAGATTAGAAGTTATGCTAGTTATACTAAACAATAACTCTGACGTATACCTGTCAATCAACTGATCTAAATAAACAGCTGTGTTTTGTCACGTAATAACAAGATAAGCCAATGACATTTACGTTAGGCAACCAAATACTCTCACGTGACCCCATTGTCCAATTAACATACTAGAAGCCACTACACTGACTAATCAAAAACCGGTATTAGTAATTACATTAAACTATGCATAATAACGAAGGCAAGCCTGCATGACATTGAAAATAAAACATACATTGAAAATAAAACATGTCTTGCAAATTTCAAACTTTGTGGCTTGATAGCTATAACTGGCTAAGTCGCGATGAAACAAACATTCATCAAGCGAAATGCTGCATATGCAAGAAGAGTTTCAGTATCAAGAAAATGGGTATATCCGCTGTACGTTCACACGAAAAAAGTGAAAAACACATCAAATAAACGAAAGCTACGTCATCAAATACGACTATTAGTTTCACATCGGCATCAGACTGCAAGTTGACAGCTGCTGCTAGTGCTACAGAAAGGAAAACCTCTCTCCCTGCGACAGCGCAACCACAAATAGATACTGTCTTAACACGGCCTCCCGAAACTGGCCAAGCGGATACAAGTGGCCAGACACAAATGTCTGTCACTGGCAATGCCGTTTTAACTGCTGAAATTTTATGGGCAGTAAAATGTATTACGTCACATCATAGTTATAACAGTTGCACGGATATAGACAAATTTTTTCAACGTGCATTTCCAGACAGCCTAATTGCCCAGAAATTTACATGTGGCGAAAATAAAATTAGCTATCTCGTTTGCTTTGGTATTGGTCCCTACATACAAGACAAATTAAAAACATTCATACGCGGTGTCGAAAATGATGTCATTATGTTTGATGAATCACATAATGAAAGTTTACAGAAAAAGCAGGTTGATGTTCATGTTCGCTTGTGGGATAATGGATCAAATTCCGTGGTTTCTCATTATTTAACTTTCAAATTTATTGGACATGGCAAAGCTGAAGATCTTCTTCCCATTTTAATAAAATGTGTCGCCGATATCGGGCTTAACAAAAGTAATCTTTTACCATATTCTATGGATGGTCCAACTGTTAATTGGAAACTTTTTAGATTACTTAATTCGAATTTCGGAGACTTTCTGATTAACATAGGTAGCTGTGGGTTGCATACAATGCACAATGCTTTTAAAAATTTGGTTGAAAAGTCAGGATATTGGATATTTAAAGATACGCCCGCACGAAGGTCCGACTATACAACTTTAACTGATTCAACAGTCTTTCCACTTAAATTCTGTGGTCATCGGTGGCTTGAAAACAAGCCTGTGGTAACCCGGGCAATTGAAATTTGGCCAAGTGTTGTAAAATATATAAAAGATAAAACCACACAATCATATAAAAGTAAATCATTTGAAGTTGTGCGCAATGGTATTAATAAAGATAAACTTATGTTTGTTAAATTAGCCTTTTTCCTGACTGTAATAAGCCTAATGACCGCGTTCTTGCAAATATTTCAGAGTGAACGACCCTTAGTACCACTTTTGTGCACTCACATAGAATCAATGATTAAACAGTTGATGAAGCGTTTTGTAAAATCGTCCGTACTAAAATCCGCTACAAATATCAGTAATTTACTTAAGATTGATGTTGAACAAGTAGATAATCATATCATGTATAAAGACTCCGATCTCAGGTTTAAGGCTGAGGGAGAACTACGAAAACTAATTAGTGGGAAAGTTGTATCCGAAAGGGACGTTTTGGACTGTAGAATCCAGTGCAAGAATATGTTAATACATATAGTTAAACATTTAATGACAAAAAAACCTATTACATATGCCATGGCCAGAAATCTAGGGTGTCTGCATCCTAAACAGATAGCGAATCTTCCGGATATAGCAAAGACACAATTTAAACACATCCTTGAAATATTAATAACAGCCCAAAAATTAGATGAGGCGACAAGTGATTTGATAAAGTCTGAATATGATGATTTTATTAACTATGTGTCTAATTTGTCTCAATTGGATATATTAGAATTTAAAAACTATGACGCCCTTAACAGTGATTTGTTAGATTTGTTTTTAATGAGACATCTTGAACATTTTAAAAATTTGCAAAAACTTGTCAAAATGTTGCTCACGGACAAACTGGAGAAGAACGCGGGTTTTTTTTTAATGCAAAAATTTTAACGGAAAATATGCAGGAAAAATCTATAATAAATCGAAGGCATATTGTGCATCATGTACATTTAATTGGCGGAGTGGACAAATTTGAAGTTACGCCCCAGTGCCTTCAATATGCGAGTGCAGCTCGAATAAAATACAGACAATACCTGGATGACCAAAAGAAAGAGGATGCTAAGTCAACAGTAGATTCAAAATGAAAATATATTGGAGATGAACTTACTGACTGTAAAAAGAAAAAAAAATACCTCGAAAATGACATTATTACGCTGGAAGCTTCGGCGGACGAGAAGGCAGATAATGCGGAATAAAGCTGTGACATCAAGAAACTTTTAATTGAGTCGAACGCCCTTCGCAGGGCAGCAAGAGCCAAAAAGACCGAAATGACGGAAATGGACGAACAAATAGCTAAACTTGAAAAACTATATATATTAAAACAATAATAAACGTATTAATAATCGGCAAATTAACGTCAATAAACTGTACTACTTTTTATTCGTACTTTAGTTTAATCAGTTAACTGTGGTCCGAGTCGAAAAGGGAAATAACTCTGTTTTAAAAATGGCGGGAGTTTTTCCGGTGTGCCGAAAGTCGATCTGTAATAATAAAAAAAACAGTTTATGTCTTCAATTCCTTTTAAATATGAGATTATAACGATGGTAATGTTTTGGTTATTTTTAAGATGAAAAATTGTAACTTTAGGCTAAAAAATGTCCTTGAAAATCCTTGAATTTGACGTATATTTATCCTTGAATATCCTTGAAAAAATGTTTGACGAAGCCGTGGGAACCCTGTAATTCTTCTTGGTAGTTATTCCACATATGGGCACCATTTATAATGAAAGATAATTTTCCTCTGAGTCTCTTGTAAGCAGGCACAGATAATAAAGTAGTATCTGTTGACGAACAATGATTTGGTCTTTCCTGTTTGTACACAAAGCTTTATACACATTTTAGAGCACTTTAAAGTCAATCCAGGGTTTCACAGTCACCAAATGGAGACAGTGTCTTGTAAATGCCCCCATTATCTACAAACTGTGTGGACGATTATGCTGCTGTGGGTGTATGTTTCGTTGCCGGGCAAACTATTTTTTAAAAAATATTTCAATATAAATTTGGTTTTGACTACTGATTGTTCTCCTATTCTACAGGTTTTAATTTGTTTCATTTCAGTGTGCTAAATATAGAGAAAGATTTGATCAAATTAAAAGATATCAAATGAAAGAGAAGGTGACAGCGAGTGATATTTTTAATGGAAAAAAAGAAACATATTCACAAAGGTATATTTCAGTCGAAAAAAAAATAACTAGATCTGATGCTGTTCCATGCAGATATGAAAGCATTCATATTTATCGTCACGTGCCATGGGTTATATCAAGAGTCTTAAAAGAAAAAAGAACAAGAAAAAATAATTATTAAAATTGGTCAAAAACTCGCGAAGTTATAAGCCTAAATATAATGAGAAACATTGCACCTGGGCCCCCCCCAAAAAAATCTGAAAAATAAAGGGAGGTAACCGAAACTTGGATTGCTGTAATCGGATTGACTACCAGTTCCAGAAGTTTCAAAAATATGGATCAAGCCGTTTAAAAAACGGGACAGATGAGGAAATGAAATGAAAATGGCGGGAAATAACTAAAAAATGGCGGGAAAATATAAAAAAATTAATTAAGATAACTTTGAATGCAACTTATATTTTTGGAATCAGATTGACCTCAGCTATTCGAATATTTAGGTCAAATTTGTCAATTTTGAAAATTAAGGAAATAAATTGTCCTGTGTAAACAACTTTGTCGGCATGAAAAAGGTCAAACGATTTTACTCGAACTCTAAATTTGAAGACATCAACAGAATGATACACAAATGGTTTGTACACGTCCGAAGTAAAAACGTAGTAATTTTATGTAATATAATTTTGAGAAATGTTTATCAATATCATATTTTAAGTTCTGGGAATTCGAAATGTGTATTGAAATAATACTTCTGGTATTTGAGGTACAATAATATACTCTTAAAAAAAAGTAGGGGATATTGAAATGTAAATGCCTATGCGGGTTAAGTGATATGATAAATAGTCATGGACACTTGACATGCTTTGAGAGTATGTTCACAGATGAAGAACTTATCGCCATACATGTAAGTGTAAGAGGGGTTCATTTTCAAATTTGACACTTAAAGGAAGAGTTGATGAAAACTGCCGCTTGCTGGTTTATCCTATCCATGTTTGCTTTCCTATCGGTTCTTGCATAAGATTTACTGTTTAGCATATCTTTGCTTTAGTGTGTTACGTTTAATTTGATCGGGAGACGTGTTCGTCAACGTCAACCGACAACACTGCAAGAATTGGCCGTGGCACTGCAAGAGGAGTGGGTCAGATTGCCCCAAATCGTGATTGGAGCATGCCACGACGAATTGCTGAATGTCTATGGATTGGTGAAGCAATTACTCATTATTAAGAAATGAAATGAAATGAAATGGGGTTTAACGTCCTACTGTTCTGCTCCTAACCTGGGTTAATGAAGACGGGCATACGCCATACAGTGTGCTATGAGGGAAATTTTGCCCGGGCAGTGCTACGGCCTACTCTTACATCGAATTCCAACTGCCGAGGGATCTTTTACGTGCACACCAATGTGTACACGGGACCTTGGTTTTTCGTCCCATCAGAACGACTAGACAGCTGTCCTTGTTATGCCCTCCTTCCTGTATCTTTGACAAGAGGAAACCACGCCGGAAAATCGGGATGAACTTTCTCAGCCAATGCAGGGACCGAACACCCGACCTCCAGACTAGCGAGCCAGCGTCCTACCCACTTAGCCACGTGATCCCCACTCATTATTAAGACAAAAATCAAAAATGTCCATTTTCACTTTTGACATTGTATCTCTTTGCGATTGAAATGGGGCCGTCAGATAAGCCACTCATATGAACTGTTTATGTTCATGTGTAGGCAATTGGCCTGTTATTAACATACACTGGTTACCTCTAATAAAAACAGCAGTGCATTTCTGCAGTCATCTTTTATTATATTGAGGGATTAACTTTTATGTTTGATTTACAGTGTTGGAAAACCATTTGAAGGTGATTATATAGGTTTACAACAAAATAGTGTATGGCAGAGAGTATATAAAACTACACCAGATCAACATGTTGTATTTGCTGATACTGTTACTAAAGTTAATCGGGCAAATGGAAAAGTAAGTTGAAACAGTAATGTTATTAGCCCAGAATAATTTTGATGGGTGCCAAGATTGTCAGTTTTAAACTGTCTTCCAGTATGTAATAGTTATATACCTTGTTTTCAAAGTGTATTGGTTGATACACCGTCTCTTTTTTGAGAGGGCCTCGGAGATCTCCACTCAAAAAAGAGACGGTGTATCAACCCATACACCGAGAAAACAAGGTATATAACTGACTTATACTAAATACTTTTTCGAGAAATAGAGATTTTTTCTATTTTTCCCAATTTCAAAAGCATTTTTCATTTCACAAATTTATCAAAGTTTCCCATTTAGAGCCGCCCAATTATCTCTTCGCAAACGATTATTTCTACTCAGGTAAATGATGTCCGTACACCACACGTGCATTTCACGGTTTAAATCAGGTCAGGGAAAATGTTCATAACAGGGATATTGATTGGTTGAGAAAAGCAAACGTCAATGCTTTGGGATAAGATAACTTTGATTGTAACTGATGGAGAGTTATGAAACTTAGTGTATATTTTCACTATCAGGTACTTCAAAACCTTGACTAAGTTTGATTATTTGATACTTTTGAAAAAGATAAATGTGCAATTAATTAATATTTTTAATATTTGTCATCTATATATTTTGGGATTTCGGCGGGGGACATCAGCCTCATTGTTGGCGTGTTGTTTTACCAATCGACTAGCTTAAACATCAACTGGCTAAATCCGACCAAAAACAGCCAATTAAGAACAGTGGTTTCATAGCATCAATCTTTGATAATAAACATTTCTGCACTAAAATCTGCATCACACTATAGCACAAAACATGTCCTATTTAAAGATAATATTTGCAAAGAAAGGACTTGAGGTTTAATTTACATAAAGTTATTGTTTCAGCAGACCTTATTTTTTATGGCCAAAGAATTCCAAGGCGTTGCAGAGATATTGTAACGTATTTGATCCATGTCCATACTTAGAATAATACCAGATTTGTTCCGAGACAGGTTTGCGACTATAGCGCTAGGAACTCTGGGAATATCACGAGCTGAAAATGTATGAAAATGGCATGTTTATGTATAATAAATGTGAAATGAATGAAGTCTTTGTAATTCAATGAAAAGGAGCCGAAAATCTGTTACATGGTCCGACGAGACGGATAGAAATCAAGTATATGGAATGAATTCAAGCTAGGGTTGTCATCAAAATTCGATTGTAAACAATTAATAGAGAAGGTGGGTCAATTGATGAAAAAAGTAAAATGTCAGAACTGTCGAGAAAAAGACGAGTGCGTGGCGGACATCGTACATCTGTGAAGCGGTTATTTAATTCCGTCGTTGAAATAGATTATGTCAATGTTATGGAAGAAGAAGAAACTAATCAATTTGAAAGGAAACTTACTCAAACCAAGGCGGCACTAACCGATAAATTGAAAGTGTTGGACACCATGAATGATTCAATACTAGAGCTTGTCGAAGAAGACAAAATAGACGAAGAAATCGAAGAATGCGACATTTTCAATGAAAAGATTCGACTTAAATTATTAGAAATAGATAGCACACTGTCAAGAATTTCTGATTCAAGGATTGATAAACCAACAATGGTTAGTAGTACCAGAATAGAAGTTGATCCTCAGACGCCGGCTCAGCAAATTCATACCCAAGCGATTCACACACAAGCTACTCAGCCTGAACCACTAATTCAGATTCAGCCTACTCAATCTCAGCCTACTCAACCACAGCAATCAGAATCCAGCCTGTCACAAGCAAGTTCAGTCCATTTTGATTCAAGGTCTTATCTGAAACTTCCTAAATTAGATTTGAAAAAATTCAGTGGAGATTTATCAGCATGGCCAACTTTCTGGGACTCCTTTGAAGTGGCGATTCATAAAAATCCAAATTTAGATCGGATAGACAAGTTCAACTATCTGAATACACTAGTAGAAAAATCCGCAGCAGATGCAATTGCAGGTTTATCCCTTACATCAAGTAATTACGAAGAGGCAATTGAAATCTTAAAGCGACGTTTTGGTAACAAGCAACTTATAATAAATCAACATATGGAGGCACTCCTAAATATTGAATCGACCAATCAGAATCTGAAGGCTCTCCGTACCTTATATGATACAGTTGAATCAAAAGTCCGAGCCTTAAGATCCCTTGGCGTGCCATCAGAGTCTTATGGTAGTTTGCTATCTTCTATATTAATGAATAAATTACCTCCAGATCTTCGTCTGATAGTCAGTAGAGAAGTCCAGGGAGATGATTGGAAGCTAGATCGGGTTTTAGATATATTATTGAAAGAACTGGAAGCCCGGGAAAGAGCATTTACCAGTCGGCAATCCAGATCAAATGAAAGTGTTCAAGAGAAGCTCGTCAGTAAGATAGATAATTATATTCCAAAAAGAAGACTCGGATCTGCGACATCATTACTTGTCAGAAACCCGAATCAGGAAAACTTTAATCAAATTAGCTGCACATATTGTAGATCAAACCATACATCAAACTCTTGTCAAGTTGTAACAAATATATCTGCTAGAAAGGAATTACTCAGTCGATATGGAAGATGTTATGTCTGTCTTAAAAAAGGTCACATTGGAAGAAACTGTCCAGACGGAAAGAAGTGTCCCTGTTGTGATGGGTTTCATCATATCAGTATTTGTAGTCGGCGGGAATATAATCAAAGCCAAAATCCTAGAAATGGTAACAATCATATGCCAAGTATGACCAGTGTCAAGTCGAATTTCAGTTCCAGTCAATTCATTCCAAAGCCTGCAAGCTCACAAGCCACAACATCTCACAGTTCTGTAGCAATGTATACTATTCAAAAAAAGTAGGGGATATTTGATTTTTAAGTGTTATTAAAGTCACCTAATGAAACTGACGAAGAAACAAATGACAAAATGAAATGAAGTTCACATTCATCGATTTATTCCAAATGATCGTTAGACTAAGTAAGGCACAGACTGACCATTATAAGGGTAAAATGATACCCGGGGTCAAACAGCAAAGTTACCACAGCATCACAACCAAGTCAGTAACGGGTAAATCCTCCTCTGTTTGCCAAACAAGCATTGATCCGACGTGGCATACTCCTAATGAGACGTCTAAGGTTATTTTGGTCCAGATTGTCCCATTCCTGTTGCAACACAGCAGCAAGTTCTTGGACATTGGCAGGACGTTGTTGACGTTGACGTAACCTCTGTCCAAGCATGTCCCAGACATGCTCGATGGGGGAGAGGTCGGGACTCAGTGCTGGCCAAGGTAATGTGGTGATGTTCTGTTGTTGGAGGTAACCTGTAACGATCCTGGCCCTGTGACATCTTGCGTTGTCATCCTGGAAGATGAAACGGCGGCCATGACGTCGCACGAACGGCACAACATGGACTGCCAAGATGTTGTCCCGGTAGTACTGGCCTGTAACACGCCCTGCAACAACATGTAAAGCCGTTCTTCCAGCAACAGTGATGCCTCCCCACACCATAACAGAACCACCCCCAAATCGATCATGTCTGATGACGTTAACGTCTTGGAAGCGCTCGTTTCGACGACGCCACACCCTCCTACGTCTGTCCAAAAAATCAACAGTGAACCTTGACTCATCTGAAAACATCACATTGCTCCAGCGTCGATTATCCCAGTGTTGACGATCCCTACACCAACGACGTCTTGCCTGAATGTGATGATCTCTCAAACAAGGGATCACGCGAGGACGTCGGGCGCGAAGGTGACCCCTATGCAGTCGATTCCGAATCGTCTGGCCACTCACTCTCACACCAGTGTCTGTTTGAAGACGAGCGCTGATCTGATTTGCTGTGATGACACGATTTCTCAAGGCCAAGGTACGGATAAATCGATCCTGGGCTTGAGTTGTCGCCCTTGGTCGACCTGAGCGTGGTCTGTCCTGTACAGATTGTGTATCACGGTATCTGGACCATAGCCTGCTTATGACAGACTGAGAAACATTCATCGTCCGCGCCACAACCGCCTGTGTTGTGCCGATCTGTAGCATGCCAAGGGCACGTAACCTTTCATTTTGGGTAAGCCGACGCATATCAAAATTTGTTTTCTGGTCACTAAAACAATTAAACTGATGTTTCCACCCTGGAATTCAATGCCACAATGACTGTAACATTCAAAGTCAGAGTCGTGCAAATCTTGGGTTGGACCCCCTTGATGATCCCAAGCATCACCTGCATTCCATGCGGTAGCTATTGGTGCGTTTGGGCGTCACATGTAACTGGAAATGTTTCTTCTGTTAGGTTCTATAGTGACTTTTTTCGTAGTCATTTGCATATTTTAGTATTATGCCCCCAAAATCAAATATCCCCTACTTTTTTTTAATAGTATATATAGGTTCTTCAACGCCAGTACTACTTCAAACTGCACAAGTTGTAATCCATGGATCAGCTAATCCAAACTTCAAAGGGAACTTTCGTTTAATATTTGATAGTGGAAGTCAGAGATCTTATGTTACAATTAAAGTCAAGAACACGTTGAACTTGCCTTCTACTAGAAGACAATCTGTATCAATTAACACATTTGGATCCAAATCAGAAGTTCCGATGGTTGTAGACGTAGTTAATTTCTTCGTAGAAACTGAAACGGGAACCGTTCAAGTATCAGCATTTGTTGTCCCTCACATATGTGATCCTGTCCATGGTCAACCCATATTGGAAGTTAAAGGGAAGTACCCTCATTTAGCTCATCTCAAACTTGCAGATTATACTTCAGATGATAACGAACTTGAAATAGATATTCTTATTGGGTCTGATCAGCAATGGAACTTCTTCACGGGCAGAGTGTTACGGGGGGAGAGTGGACCAACAGCAATTCAGACCAATCTTGGATGGGTGTTATCAGGACCAGTATATGGATTGAAGACCAAAGACACTCAACACAGTATGATCTCTTTGAATCAGATCACATCTCTTTTTGTCAACGAACTCAGTCTAGATGATAGCCTAAAACGTTTTTGGGATTTAGAGTCCATGGGAATTCAACCAAAGTCGAT